ATGTGAATCAAAGAGAGATGGTGGGTTGGGACCCTAGAAGAGGGAAGCCCAACAGTATAGAGGTTGTCAGTTGCTATGTGAGCAATGAGGCAGTGACCAGGTGGTGCTAGGTCAGACCCCAGAGGCCTGGGGACGTGGTCCTCAAGACTCCCTCTGTGCCCACAGACGACTTGCTGATGAATTGTCTCTGAAGCGGCTCTCTTGAATTGTGAACATTGACGTTTTATGGCCTCAGAACATGACCTGGGTTGTAAATTAATAAATGCCTATTGAAATAACTGTCAGTCTCTTGTGGGTGTGGTTACTTTGCCCCTAGTGGTGTCCTAGTTTACAGGGCACTGGGTCAGATACAGGAGTCCCTGGGTGGTTGCTCAGCTGCTAACTCAAAGGTTGGTGGTTCAAGTCTACTCATGGGGGCCTCAGAAGAAAGGCTTGGTGTTCTACGACAGGCGGGTCATAGCCTTATTATGCTCACTCCTACCCTGAAACCCAACGGGCACCAAGAGTCAGAGCTGACTCGATGGCAGCTTTGTTTGCCTAGTTAGTGGCAAGGCCTGGACTCAAACCTGTGTTGTTTCTATCATATCCCCTGTGGCTGACATCTGCTCTTTGTACCTATTCAGCACTTTAGGACTTTTCCTTTGTTAAGCACCATTGTCACCTCATGGACATATGACGGTGGCCTAGTCCATCAGAACACTATGTCCTCTTTCTAGAATTTAGCTCATTACAAGCAGAGCTTACCAGTCCCTTGGCTTCTGCTAGAGATTTGGCAAAGATGCGTTCCATGTGTGCTGACCTGGCTAAACCAGTAAAATGTTAGAAAGAGCCCTGAGCAGAAAAACACAGAAAAACGAGAACTCACTGGTTAGGGATGTCTAGCATGGTTGAGTATCTGGACTGGGTTCTACCTGAAGCCAGGTCCTCACTCTGAACTATACGGTTACAAGATCTTGCCCAAGAGTATTCCATGTTTGCTTCAGTGGGTATGGGCTCATTGGTTTTAACCTGTAGCCATGAATCTTGGGTAATACATTCAACGTTATCCTGTCTCACCATTTCATTTTACAGAAAATCAAAGCCTTGGGGACCTGTGACTTATTCAACTCGTGGGTGGCTGAGCCAGAGTAAGAGTCCAGTCTTGGATTTGATTTCAGGTTCCTTCCCATACACTAATTTGCTTCTTTTATTTACAACAAAGCTGAGATGTAGTGAAACACTAAGGTAGAAAGGTAGGTAGCAGCTGGCAAGTGAGGATCAGTCAGACCAGATAACTTGCTTCTGAAGTGGAATGTCTAAATCAGGCTGCTTCCGTTTGAAATCCCGACTTCTATTCACCAAGTGCTGATCTGTGCATTCTTCAGGGAGCAGCGCCACTGACCAGAGGGTCATTGCCGTTTTCCTCTGCAGACAAGAACATGTACTTACCTTAGCATGGTGGAGAGCATGTGTCCCTGTCTCTCAATGTCATCACCTGCCACCCCTTCTACAGGCCCAGGGCTCAGAAGTGGTTCTCAACCTGAGCAGGGACTGTCCACTGTGGCGAGGAGCAAGCCTCACCTGGTGGGCTTCAGGAGTAGATGAATGGGAAGATAGCATGTGACATAAGGCTCCCTGCCTGTCGCGCCTCACCCCTCATTGTCCCTAAAAACAGACTCTGAGATTCTGGGATATGAATCAGATTTGACTCAAAGGCAGTGAAGTGTTTTTTTATTTATTTTCTGGTTTGGAGTGGTATTTGCTTTGAGCTACTAACCATAAATTGGCAGTTCAAACCCAATAGCCACTCTGAGAGAGAGAGAGAGAGAGAGATTTTAAGGTCTCAGCAATCCTATACAGGGTGACTGTGTGTTGGACTTGACTGGGTGGTAATGGGCTTGGGGAATTCTGACATTCCTGGGAGGATTTCTCTGCCTTAAGCTTTGCCCCCTCCTCCCACTCTGGCCTGTCTGCCTTGAGAAAACCTTCTCTCACCTCCTGGACTTGCACTGGTTGGCATGGAGGCTCTCTCTGCCCCAGCCCTCAAGAAAAGCCACTGCCAGAGGGAGGCAGGGAAGCCCACAGATGTGGGATCCACACATGCCTGCCGTGGGCTGCCCCAGGCCAGCACAGCACTCAGCTCTTCCCTTGCTCCCTCAGCAGCTTTTCCCTTCAAGCACCTGCCCTCTTTCCTTAACCCCACTCTTCACAGAACCCAGTGGTCTCCACCCTGGCAGTGAGAGGGGTGGGAGTATTGAGGGGCCAGAGGAGGTAAAGGCGACAGTCAGTCTAGGGCAGCTGAAGCAAGCCAATCCTTGGCATGTGCTGGAGATTTAAGAATTCATCTTAACTTCTAGTTCTGCTTAACAATTCATCACACTGGTTTGCATATAAAACTGGGTGCAACCTATCTTGGATTTCCATCACAGGGCACTGCTAACAGCTGGCATTGGAGTGAGCTATCACCTACAGCTGAAGAGCTCCTGGTGAACTTCAGATTGGCTATTTCTCAGCTGGATTCCAAAGACTGCCGCGATCCTTCATTACAGTTCATACTGTTGTGATCCCCCCCATCCATATAATTATTTTTCCAACCCCTCTCCCACCCATAAAATTATTTTCGTTGCTACTTCATAATTGTAATTTTGCTACGGTTATAAATCAAGCGACCACTGTGAAGGGGTCGTTCGATTCCTAAAGGGTCGCGACCCACAGGTTGAGAAAGGTTGCAATAGATGCTGGTCCAACAAATGAACAAAGGCCTGAAGGATAGACCCGGATTTAGTTCGGTATCTCAAATCGATTTATGAGGGCAGACTCAGAACGATGTGCACTTCTGACCAATGTCTTAAACTCAGGTTTGGTCTCTAGGCTCCCAGTAGGAAGAGAAGCACCCACTAGGAGTGCCCCAGAGAACCGCCCCCGCCCCAGTACCTGTAGACGCGCCGTGGGCGGAGCTTGTGCCTCTCAACACACCCACTGGCGTCCCCATCTTTTCCGCCAATGAACCCGCCCCGTCCGTCAGGTCCCGAGTTTTCATTGGCCTGTGCGCGCATCCATCTGAGCGTCTCGGCGCCTATTGGGCGAACTACTTGACCCGGTTGCGCATCTTCCGGTGTTGGGAACGCGGCGCCATCGTATCCCCGCCGCCATTGCGCTGCGAGAGAAGCGGCTTCGGTGTAACGGGCTCTAGGGGTGCGTGGTGGGTTCCGGGGGCCGGGCTGCGGGGGGCGAGGGCGCTCTGTGGAGCGGCAGGAGGGGTTGGTTGGGCTGGGTGCCGATCGCCGGGCCGAGGCCGCCGGCGGCGAGGGCCCGCCTCTGAGACGCCTTCCTGCGGGCCCCCCAGGCCCTCGTGCTGGTTCAAGTTCCATCTCCACCCCTCTCCAGATTCTCCGGACATGGCCGGAGTATTTCCCTACCGAGGGCC